ACCAAGGGACAGAGAGATTGAGACTGAGTGGCTCTGGGTCTGACCAACCGAGACACAGAAGGCATGAGGGATTGAGAAAGTAAGGGACTTTGACTGAGGGATGGGGATTCTGAGGGATCGAGGAACAAAGGGACTGAGAGACTGAGGAACTGAAAGAGTGAGGGGCTGAGGGACTGAGAGACTGATTGAGGGACTGAGGGACTAAAGGACAATGAGACAAAAGCCTAGAGACTGACTGAGAGACAGACGGACTGAGGAACTGAGCAGCTGTGGGACTGAGGCTCTGAGGGGATGATGGACTTAGAGAATGAGGAACTAAGAGACACAGGGACTGAGAGGCTGTGGAACTGAGGAACTGAAAGACTGAGGGAGTGCGAGACTCGAGCAGGCAGACAGAGAAACTGAGACTGGGGAGCTGAAAGATTGAGGGGCTGAGGAACTGAGATTAAAGGACTGAGGAACTGACAGACTGAAAGACTATGAGAATGGGGGACTGAGAGATGAAGGGGCTAAGAGACTAAGAAACACAGGAACTGAGAGACAGGGAAACAGGAATGAAGAGTCAGAGGGACAGAGAAACAGAGGGACAGAGAGACAGCAGGAAGGAAAGAGAGGGATGGAAAGATTGAGAGACTAAGTAATTAAAGAACTGAGGTAATGAGGGACTGATATACAAAGGGACAGAGGTGCTGAGGGGTTGTAGGACTGAGGAATGGAGGGACTAAGAGACTGAGGGAATGATAGATAAAGGACTGAGATAGAGGCTCAGAACTGACTGAGTAACTTCGGGACTGAGGGTCTGAAGCATAGAGGGTCTGACAGAAGGACATTGAGAAACTAAGAGCAGTTGAAAATTTGAGAGACTGAGGGACAGAGGGATTGAGGAAATGAGTGACAGAGGGCATGAGGGACTGAGAGACTGAGTGACTGGGACAGCTGACAAACAGGGATTGGGGGACAAAGGGAGACAGAGAGATGAGAGATTTGGGGATTGTGAGACTGAGAGACTTAGGGAATGATGCACTGAGACAATTAGTGAATGATGGACTGAGAGACTTAAGGAATAATGGACTGAGAGACTTAGGGAATGATGGACTGTGAGACTGAGAGATTTAGGGAATGGTGGACTGAGAGACTTAGGGAATGGTGGACTGAGAGACTTAGGGAATGGTGGACTGAGAGACTTAGGGAATAATGAACTGAGAGACTGGGAGACTTAAGGAATAATGGACTGAGAGACTTAGAGAATGATGGACCAAAAGACTTGGGGAATGATGAACTGACAGACTGGGAGACTTAGGGAATGATGGACTGAGAGACTGGGAGACTTAGGGAATGATGGACTGAGAGACTGGAAGACTTAGGGAATGATGGACTGAGAGACTTCGGGAATGATGGACAGTGAGACTGAGTGACTTAGGGAATGATGTACTGGGAGGATTGTGAGACTGAGAGACTGAAACATCCTGAGGACTGAGGGAGTGAGAAATATAGGGTCTGATGGACTGAAAGACAAAGGGACAGAGGGAATGAGGGACTGAGAAACTGAGAGACAGAAGGGATTGTGAGACAGAGACTGACTGAGGACCTGAAGGGGCTGAGGGACAGAGGTACTGTGTAATGAGGTACTGACGGCCTGACTGAGAGAGTGAGGAACTGATGGTATTAGTGACTGAGAAATTGAGGAGCAGGCATACGGAAGTATAGAGAAATTGAGAAACTGAGGGACTGAAGACTGGGGGAATGAGGGACTGAGGAATTGAGAGATTAAAGGACTGAGGTACTGAGGGAGTGAGGGACTGAGAGACTGAGGGATTGAGAAACTAAGGGACTGAGAGAGAATGAGACTAGAATGAGAATCTGAAAGACAGACCAGAGACCGAGAGAGTGACTGAGGGATTAAGGGACTGAGAGATTGATAGACTGAGGGATGCAGGGTTGGAGGGACTGAGAGATGGTGGGACCAAAGGACTGAGAGACTTAAGGATGGATGGACAAAGAGACAAAGAAACTGAGGGACTGAGTGACTGAGGGATTGAGGGGCTGTAGGAGTGAAACACTGAGGAACTAAGGAGATGAGAGACTGAGAATCTGAGAGACTGAGAATCTGAGAGATTGAGAATCTGAGAGACTGAGGGGATGAGAGACTGAGGAACTACAGGATTCATTGATGGAGAGACTGAGGGACTGAAAAATCCATGAGAACATTGCAATTACTTACCGCAGGGCCTTCTGGACCAGGAGGACCTTCCACTAACATTCCCTGGAAATAAATAGAGACACATCAGGTATCAGAGGAGTGAGGGGAATGTGGAGATAGTAGGGAAGCGGGGGGGGTTTAAACTGCAGTACAAACCAACACAAACAGGAGAGCGAGAGGGTGGGCAAGAAGGATAAGGGAGAGAGAGGAGAAATGGGGGAGGGTAGAGGAGTAGGTCGAGGGAGTACAGGGAAGGGAGGTGATAGCAGTACATGAAGGGCGCAAGAAGAGGGTAGAGAGGGAAAGACGAATGAACGAGGAGGTGAAAGGGTTACCAATGGGGTAGATAAGTAGCACAGGCACGCAGCACTGGCTTTGAGAGACAGCACAGGCACACAGCACTGACTTTGACACACAGCACGTGTACACAGCACTGACTTTGAGAGACAGGACATGTACACAGCACTGACTTTGACAGACAACATGTGTACACAGCACTGACTTTGAGAGACAGTACATGTACACAACACTGACTTTGACAGACAACATAGGTACACGGCACTGGCTTTGACAGACAGCACAAACACAGGTACTCACTGGCTCGACTACTGCCGGTTCCCCTTTCTCACCCTTTAATCCACTTAGGGCCATCTGGAAGAACAAAACAACTGTCACAAAAACAAAAATGGTCAGATCCCTGTCTCAGATGCCACAACCTCCTTGGGAGGAAGAGAAGGAAGAGGGTAATGGTCAGGGCAGAGTGGGGCCGTGGTCTAAAATATCAGCAAGTGAACAACAACCCACTCTTCACAGCCACAGGGCTACAGGCCTGAGAAGGCACAGAGTGGAGTAGGTCATCAGTGGGGTGTGATTTGTCAATGTTTTTTTTTTATTCATTCATGGGATGTGGGCAGCAGTGGCTAGACCAGCATTTATTGCCCATACCTAATTACTCAGAGGACAGTTGAGAGTCAACCACATTGCTGAGGGTCTGGACTCAAATGTAGGCCGGACCAGCCAAGGATGGCAGTTTCCTTCCCTAAAGGACATTAGTGAACCAGATGGGTTTTTACAACAATCAGCAATGGATTCATGGTCATCATCAGACTCTTTATTCTAGACTTGTTTTTAAGGGTGCAAGGGGTAGTGGTGTTGGAGGAGAGGTGAGACCGTTGGAAACTGGGAGGCAGTGAAGACAGAATGTACATGTAGTACTACATTGTCAGGATTTTCCTGTCTTTGTGGTAGCAACTCATTACTTTCCCATCTGAAGGGTATCATAGTCAGATGCCAGTCCTGAGTGTGGCACTGCAGAGAACAGAGGGTGGTGATCAGACATGGATGATAATGACCAATCGGGTGGGCAATGATCACTGAATAAATGGGCAATGATTGAGGTGGACACCCAAAGGCCCTTTCTAACCTTCTCTTTTGGAGAGTTCCTCTCCATTGCAGTCTAATCTGTAGAATCAACATCAAATCTTCAACAACTTACCTGTCCTGTAAACATTGCCTGATACAAAACATAAATTGCTGGAGAAACTCAGTAGGTCTGGCAATATCTGTGGAGAGAGAACAGAGTTAATGTTTCGAGTCCAGTGACCCTTCTTCAGCTCTGACGTGAAACATTAACTCTGCTCTCTCTCCATAGGTGCTGCCAGCCCTGCTGAGTTTTTCCAGTAATTACTGTTTCTGTTTTTGTTTCAGATTTCCAGCATCTGGAGTTCTTTGGTTTCTTTTGATTAAACAATGCCTGATGATGCCCAACCTCCAACAGTGGCATCATGGACACTGTGTTAACAGTAAACTGGAATTGTCAGGCAGCTGCCATCTCACATGCAGATGGAAGCTGACATTGGTATTATTTCAAGAGAGATACCCTGTGTCAGGCAATCAAAGACTGCATCACGGGGAGAGAAGGTTAAATATCACGTACGCAGGAAATAGGAATCACTGCTTTGCAGGAAGTGTGCAAAAGCGTGACAGATCAGGGAGACCACTGCTGTAGGAAATGGCATCGCAAAGCAGGAGGTGAAACCACCTCAGCATGATGGGTTTGGTGGCAGGACACCAGGGCAGTTTGGAATCCAAGTTGGAGGAGGTACATCTTTCACAGCAGATAGGCTGAGGGAGCAGCAGTCACAGACACATGAGGCAATTGCAGCAGGGAGACAGTTAAAAGAACAGGAGCACTGCACTGAACAATCACAGGGTGACACCATGAGGGGTGGGGGGAGGGAACAGAAGACAAATGTCTCAAGACAGGCACCAACAGGAGATTCGTGGATGATGTGTACAGAGACCAGGCGATGACATGTACAGAGACCATGAAACAATATACACAGAGACCAAGAGACAAGGAGACAATGCCCCAGAAATCAGGAGACAACGTGTACAGTGATCAGGTGACAAAGCACACAGAGACAGGAGACAACATGTACAGAGACCAAGAGACATTGTGTACAGGGACCAGGAGACGATGTGTACAGACACCAGGAGATAATGTGCGCAGAGACCAGGAGACAACGTACACGGAGACAGGATACAGTGCATGCAGAGACCAGGAGACAATGTGTACAGAGACCAGGAGACAATGTGTACAGAGACCAGGCGACAACGTGTACAGAGACAGGCGACGACATACACGGAGACTAGGAGACAATGCTCACAGAGACAAGAGACGACATGTGCAGAGACCGGGAGACGTGTACAGAGACCAGGAGACAACATGTATGGTGACAGGAGACAATGTATGCAGAGAACACGTGATGGCGTGTCCAGAGACCAGGTGACAATATGGACAGAGACCAGGACACAAGGTGCACAGAGACCAGGAGACAACGTGTACAGAGACCAGGTGACAACGTACACAGAGACAGGATACAATGTGTACAGAGACCAGGAGACAATGTACATAGAGACCAGGACACAATGTGTACAGAGACCAGGAGACAACATACACAGAGACAGGATACAACGCATACAGAGACCAGGAGATAATGTGCACAGATACTAGAACACAACATACACAGAGACCAGAAGACAATGTGTGCAGAGACCACGAGACAACGTACACAGTGGCCAGGAGACAACGTACACAGAGACTAGGAGACAATGTGTACAGAGATCAGGAGATAACATGTACCAAGGTCAAGAGATAATGTGCATGGAGACCAAGAGACGACATGAAAGGGATCCAGGAGACAACATATGCAGAGACCAAGAGACAACATGTGCAGAGACCAGCAGGTAACGTGCACGGACACCAGGAGACAACATGTGCAGAGACCAGGAGACAATGTGCACAGAGACCAGGAGACAATGTGCACAGAGACCAGGAGACAACATGTACAGAGACCAGGAGACAACGTGCACAGAGACCAGGAGACAACGTGCACAGAGACAAGGAGAGAATGTACACAGAGACCAGGAGGCAACGTGCACAGCAACCAGGAGACAACGTGCACAGTGACCTGGAGACAACATGCACAGAGGCCAGGAGACAACGTAAACAGAGATTGGGATACAACAACACCAAACAGAGGATGACAACGTTGGACTGAACACAGCAACTGATGCATGGCCATCTAGTGAAAACAGAAGTGAAGGAACTGTGTTCAGGTCCCTCTGGCCACTTACTCCTTCTGTGTACACCTCGCTCTCAACAGGCAGTCCTGGTCCAATCTCCGTGGGCAGGGTTTCCTCGTAGTAATCTTTGTAAATGTAGTCATAATCGTAGCCTGGGTCACCGGGACCAACATCTTCCCCAGTGAAATACTCCTTATAAACCACATCGCCTGTAACTGGACGCACGGTGGTAGCTGCCTGCTCCAGCTGCCCAGGAGCAGTGAAAGAGAAGCAAGAGCTGCATTAGGTTAGCAAAGCAATCTACGCCCTGTCTCGTGCAATTACGACTGAGATGATCATAGCTTTGTATCTTCTGACAGAACCCAGAACTGAGCTGAGGCTAGCGATCTGCAGATAGATGCTCCAAACATTGCCTCGGCCCAGACAGGGAGTGGTATTATTCAGCAAAGAAATACTTAGCTATGATCATGCTCACAGATTGAAGCAGCCTGACTGATAGTGTGGTGTTTGGCACAAAGAACTCAGGACAAAGGGATCAGCCATATCGGACAGAGATGAGGAGGGATTACTTTATACTCTGAGAGTGGTGAATCTTTGGAATACTCACCCAGAGGGCTGTGGTATCTCTATCACTGAGTACATCCAAGAGAAAATTGTAGATGTTTGGATTCTAAAGTGGAGCTAAGTGACATGGTATTGGCTTGGAGGGAGTGAGAATTAAATTGTTCATCTTTCATGGGATGTGTGTGTGTGTGTGTGTGTGTGTGTGTGTGTGTTTATTATTCTTCAGGCAATTCTCTAGGCAATTCCATGAGCATTTACATTGAAGCTTTCTCCAGTCCTCCTCTGGTGAAAGGTCAGTAGGTTTGACTGTGTCACCCCTCAGCTGCACTCCTATGGATTCCACTGGAACATCACTCTGTGAGTTTGGAGAGTCTATCAACACCACCCCACCCCCCACACACAAACTTTGTTGGGGCTTGGCCCCAGCTAATATCTTCCATTAGGCACGAGTGCACACAGGTCCTTGCAGCTTTTTCCCCCAAAGCTCAATAGCAGAGCTCCCTTGAATCACCCCACCATCTTATGAACTACCAATATTGATCATGCCAGGGTTTCTTTCTGTACTTGAACAATTGGTATTCGAGAACACTGCCCACCCGAATCTCCAGACCTGTGGCAATCTTCTCCAAAGTCAAAGGGCTTCATAAATGCAAGCTGTTGTTGAATGGTCAGTTGGTCCAGGGTCAAATGGGTCGAAAGCCCTCGGTCTCCCCACTGGAGGAGCAAATAGGCCAGATGAGAGTAGACTGAGTGGCTGCTTGAAGTGGCACTGCAGTAGACTTGGTGTCACTCCGGGTCATCCAGGTTGGGGAGGGTGTAGAGTGCTACCCCCATTGCTACCAGGGTGTGTATTTCAGGAGATGAATCGACAGGGCAGAAGCGGATCATTCGGTCCAGACTGATGGTATTTGCCATGGTCCATCCATGAGTTGATCTATCATTTCCCCATTGCAAAATACCTCATCAGTTGTTGCCCATTACTCTCTGTGGTCACACCTTACACATTCTTCACCGTTCTCTGGCTCAGTCCCAAATTCCCTGTGGAATTTACAGCCAGGTTCTGTTCTCTTGTCTAAGTGGAAAGAGCCTCTCCACATCTTGTCTATCAAACCCCTGCAGAATAGTACCTCTGCCAGATGGCCCTCCAATTCATCTTTCCTGGCTCAAAGAAGCCCAAGGTTTTTGTTTTCAGTTTTCCCCAGTTCAGTTATGGTCCCTTTCGAATCTTTTCTTCACCCTGTTCTCCTGTGCCTGGAGATCCTCTTTCAAACGTAGAGACTAGAACTATGCACGGTACTGATGATATGGCCTCACTGAGATGTCGCACAGATTTAGGTCGGGCGGGGTCTGGGTTTGAGTGTCCAGCCCCTGGAAGGTTTGGCAACTCTGCCCTTGGCCCCCATCACGATGCTTCCCACAGGGCTCGTCTACTCAGGTTGAAGGAAACAGAATTAGTGACATGCAGACAACGGTAACCACTGCCACTCAGGGCACCATCAAGATGGACAATTTATGTGGGCTGTCATCCAGTGACCACTCCAATGTGACTCACTGGCAACCTTGCCCTCTGACTAATTTGATCCACTCCTCAACCACTAAAGTATGGGCACCTTCAAAGAGGCATCACGACCCAGTGACCATCCCGCAGAAGTGACGCTGTCAGCAGCATGTATCACCAGGCTGTTCAGCCACAGAGCCTCTCATGGTGTGGGGGAAATCCATTACAAGCAACACTCCAATCACTATCAATTGATTCAGCCCACCACATCTCACTTGCTGGAGCTTCAGGAAAGGAAACTCCACACTCCAACATCCCCTGTGACCATTTGCATGGCTGCTAATCAGGTCACTGGCTAGTGTCACTGAAGAGACAGACACACACACACACACACACAAAATGTATCACGTACAGCACATGAACACACTTGTGTCCATTAACATTTGATCTCTTTGAGACTCAATACAGAGAAATAACAGTGGCTTACATATAGAAAAAGGCACATTGGCTTTTTGAAAGGTTTCCATTGAGATTGCTTTTCAACTTTGTTCTCACTTGAATCCAACACTATGGAGGTGATCAGAGCATTCACCCTCTTAATCACAAAGTGCTCCCACCATTGGGATTATTGGAAAGTTACAGCGTGCTCAGGAGTACCACTGGTCAATATTAATCGATATCCAGCCTGATGCTGTACCTGATCTTGGAGTGTTTGATGGGGGCAATGTCAGGAGAGCTTTACTTTCCATTTACTTATAGTTTGAAAGAGTAGAGTAGAGTAGTTTGAAACAGCCATTTAAAAGAGTGTTGGGGGGGAGCGCCTGAATTTCAATTTAAAGAGCAGAGCGAGCTTTACCTTCATTTTAATAGAGTAGAAGGAGCTTTACTCTGCATTGAACCCTGTGTTGTCCCTGTTCTGGTAGTATTTGATGGGGACAATGTAGATAGAGGTTTACTTTTATTTTGAAAGAGTAGAGGTAGCTTTACTTTGCATTTCAACCAGTGTTGTCCTGTCCTGGGAGTGTTTGATAGAAACAGTGTAGAGGCAACTTTACTTTCAGTTTAATAGAATCGAAGGAGCTTTACTTTTCATTTTACTTTAAAAAAGTAGAGAAAAATTTACTCTGTATCTAGCTCTGTCCTGGGAGTGTTTGAAGAGACAGCATAGAAGAAGTTTTATTTTCAGTTTAAATGAGTAGAGAGAGAGCTTTATTTTAGTTTCAAAGAGTAGAGGATGCTTCATTCTGCATTTAACCATGTGCAGTCCATGTCCTGGGAGTGCTTGAAGGAGACAGCATCCAGGGACATTTACTTTTAGTTTAAAAGAGTAGAGGCAGCTTTACTTTCAATGTAAAAGAGTAGAGCTTGCTTAACTTTCAGTTTGAAAGCGTAAATGGAGCTTTACATTGGCTCTAACCCTGTGCTGTGCTTGTCCTCAGAGTTTTTCATGGGGACAGTGAGAGAACTTTACTCTCCCTTTAAAAGAACAGCAGGGCTTTACTTTGAGTTTTAAAAATTAGAGGGTGCTTTAATTTCCATTTGAAAGAGTAGAAGCAGTTTTCCTTTCAGTTTAAAGAAGCAGAGAGAGCTTTACTTCCACTTTAATAAAGCAGAGGCAGCTTTACTATGTATCTAACACTGTTCTGTAGCTGGCCTGCTATTGTTTTATGCTGACAGTGTAAAGCGAGCTTTACTCTGTATCTAACCCCATGCTGTAACCTGCCCTGGAAGTATTTGATGGGGCAGTGTCGGTAACGTTACTTTCAGTTTAAAACAGTAGAGAGAGCTTTACTCTATATCTAATCACATGCTGTATGTTTGTTAGGTGACAAAATCCAGATGGCTTTACTTTCGGTTTAAAAGAGTAGAGAGAGTTTCATTCTGTACCTAACGCCATCCTGTATCTATCTTGGATAGTGTTAGGACAGTGTTGGGGAAGTTTTAATTTCAGTTTGAAAGAATGAACAGAGCTTAACGCTGTATCTAACCCTATGTTGCACCTGGTCTGGGAGTTTTTGATGGGTCCAATATTGAGGGAGCCTTACTTTCAGCTGACTTTCAGTTTAAAGGAGTAGAGAGAGTTTTATTTTTGTTTAAACGAGTAGAGAGTGCTTCACTCTATATCTAACTAAGTGCCTATCACTGTGCTGAGAGTGATTTGTATGACTGGGTGCAGGATGATTAAAAAATGAATCCTGGAGTTCCTGTCTGATCCTTCTTCAGCATCAAATGAATCTCAGTGTCTCATTCTTTTCTGATGGGTTGACTGACCCTGCCAGTAAGTGTGGATTCCAGGACTGAACAAACATCGGGCAATCCCATTCCAGCTAAGAGAACCTTTCCATGAAATACCTGGAGGAAGAAAAAAGCCAGCGAGCAGGAGCTTCTCCTGATATCCTCCTGTGACTGAAGGATTGTGTGAGGAACAGACTGCAGCATTAGACGCAACCAACCTCAGAACCAATGCACAATTGATTATCATTAGCAAATGATAGGGAAACCTCTCATAGGATATTTGTCCCTGCAAGCTTCCCAATACCTGTTTTTGTTTTCTAATCTAATGAATAGGTAGATTCAGAATGGGATAACGGCATCATTGGCTAGGCCAGCATTTATTGCCCATCCCTAATTTCCCAGAGGGCAGTTATGAGTCATCCATATTGCTGTGGGTCTGAAGTCACATGTAGGCCAGAGCAGGTAAGGATGGCAGTTCTGACTAACCCACTTCCCAACACCCACCCTCCCACTTCCCCAGCTTTGTTCAACACTTGGTTTTCCTCAGCTGGTCCACACAGTCTGTCCCTCATGTCCTCTCCAGTCTGTCTGACAATATCAAGATCATGGCACCAAAACAGGACGTGGCCGAAAGCAGATTAACCTGCCCACCCACCACCATCTCAGCTTTCAAAATGTATAAATAATCATCTTACATGGCAGTCGTGAAATCTGAGGGCTATCAGGCCATTGCGAAATGCAAGGAGGTGATGTTGAGAGGTGATCAGAGCAGGGAAACCGTTAGTCAGCTCACCCAGGCCCATCTTCAAAGGGTGGCATCATGGCAGATGTGGCCACCATTTGGCAACTAGACAACTTCCCATTTGACTTCAAGAAGCAAATCTGATGGCTCCTAACCTAACTGGCAATCTGCATTTCCAAACTGGCATTTCCCCCATCTTACGGAGGGAGGGCTAGTTCTGCGATAGAACACAACTGGAAGTTTAGCTGCACGGCTTGGACACATCCAGAGAGTCAAAAAGTCCCTTTGCCTGATGTAGCCTCCCTGCACCAATGGATTATAAAATTGAATTCATCTGCTCGTAGGGTAGGGTGGAGCAGGTGAATTGGGACCATGCTGGGTAGTGTCCTTGGCTCTGAGTCAGGAGCTCAGTGTCCAAGTCCTGCTGCAAGACTGGACATCCAAGGGAGGCATGTTCGTAACAGAGCCAAACAAGTCGGTCATCAGCCTGCAAATCCTACAGCTATGCCAGTGGTAGACACTAGGGGCAGGACTGTCTCCTGTTCAGCCATGTCTGATAGGAAACTGTGCCCAGTGACAGGCTATGGTTCCATGTGATGTAGACATCACTGGCAAAACCAAAATCTCTTGCTCATCCCTAATTGCCCTTGAACTGAGTGGCTCACCTCTGCCATTCCAGAGGGCGGTTGGGCGTCAACTACAATGCTGTGGGTTTAGAGTCATGTTTAGGTTTAGAATTAGGGCAGATTACTTCCCTAAAAGGGCATTAGTGAACAAAAATCCCTACAGTGTGGAAGCAGGCCATTCAGCCCATCAAGTCCACCCAGACTCATCCTTGCATTTCCCACCCTAGACACTATGGACAATTTAGCATGGCCAATCCAGCTAACTAGCACATCTTTGGACTGTGGGAAGAAACCGGAGCACCCAGAGGAAACCCAAATTGACACGGGCAGAATGTGCAAACTCCACACAGACAGTTGGCCAAAGCTGGAATCAAATCTGGGTCCCTGGTGCTGTGAGGTAGCAGTGCTAACCACTGAGCCACCATGCTGCCAGCATTTGGGGTTCTACAGCAATCAATGATAGCCACCCCTCACTGAGAGTTTCAATTCTGGATTTTACTAATTAAAATTAAATTGGACTAGCTGCTGTGGTGGGATTGAACCTGTGTCCCCAAATCATTAGCCTGGGTGTGGGGATATTATCATACCACCTTCTGTGGGTGACAACTAGAGTACTATGTTTTATGAGAAGACCCCTGGGATATCAAGTTTCTTGGCTTCTCATCAAAAGATTTGGAGCTGGGAAAGAGGGAAGATAGCATGATCCCCCTGCATAAACACCACCACCAAAACCCCAACCAGACTGGTTTATCAGCTTGATTCCCCACCGTGCCACACCGAGGCAATGGTGAGCAAGATGGAGGAGAGCAGCCATTTTACCTGGGTCACATCAGCCTCAACGATTTGTGGGACCTCCTCAGTGACTGCCACCTCACCGTAGTCCTGTCCGGTTGGGATGGTCTCAACGGGGATCTCCTCCTCGTAGAGAGCGGGGTCTGTAGGATCCTACAATCGCATTGTAATGGGGAAAGAGTGCGTTAGCGGCAGCAGGAGTGCCCTCCAGAAAAGGGAGGACAAAACAGGAAAAGGGAAGGAGGGAGAACGGAAAGCGGTGCCATGAAGAGGCCATTATTGCCAAGATAATGAGGGGTTGGCAAAGCAAGATGGAGCGAGAGATGGAGTGAATGAGCAGATGAGAATGGAAAGAGAGAGGTAATGGTGGTGGGGGGGGGGAGTTATCCGGATTCTTTCCATGGTGGCTAGAGAGGAAAGATCAGGATAGTCCACACCTGCTCCCCAACCCCAAACATTTCTTGATGGTTGTGGTTCTACCTGTTGGAAACCATTGAGCTGGCTCTTCTGCGGGATTCTTGTGACAGCAGTCTTGGTGGTGCCAGCCTTGGTGGTGGCAGCGATACTGAACTTGACCGCAGAGCTCTGGGCAGCGGCCGTGGCCAGCTTGACAGTGGCAGGCTTCGGCGAGGGCGCCTTTCTCTGGGCAGCCTCAGCTTTCGGCTTCGCCTGCTTCCGCCCGTTGGTTTTCCCTTTCTGCAGAATTGGTGATGGTGAGAAAATGAAATGGAGGAAGCCATGGAAGAAATGAGAGAGAGAGACATAGAATGGACATGACCAATGGCGTGAAATGAAATGATGCAATACATGGCAGCTAATGATAGACCCCCAATTACCCACCTTCCCCTGATCTTATAACACGAGCACCAGCTTCCAATATTGATAAGACAGTTGCTTTCGCTAAACCTGGGTCATCAATCATCCCGATCCTACTTTTAAGAGGGAGGTGGATACCGCAGAGGGTGCAGGAGGTGCAGTGCCTTCTGTCTCCTTCTAATTCCATTTTGATTTAGCCCCCATATCTCTCCTTACCTTTCTCCATGGTCTTTGGTGGTATTGAATTGCCCTTGATGGGCTTTGCATGTCAGTTGATCAAATAGATTCAGGCCTCCTTTTCCTGTGGCCTGTCTTTACCTCCACTGCTGACCCTTGTCTAGACTGGGCTAAGTGGGCAAAACTCTGCCTTGCCTCCCATTCTTGCAGAGCCCACACCCCACTCACATACATTCAAACTATCTCTGCCTTCAACTTTTCAATACAGTTCTTTGAGATCAAAGGATGTGGGGAGAAAGCAGGAACAGGGTAATGAGTTAAATGGTTAGCCAGGATCATATTGAATGACAGAACAGGTTCAAAGGGCCGATTGGCTTACTCTTGCTCACATTTTCTATCTTTATGTCCTGAAGAAGGGCCATACCTGACTCAAAGCCTTAACCGTGTTTCTCCCTCCATAGATGCTGCCAGACCTGCTGAGTTTCTCTAGCATTCACTGTGTTTGTTTCAGATTTCCAGCATCCGCAGTATTTTGCTTTTATTCTGTTTCCATGTCTCAGTCTTGCTCTCCTCTCCCCTTCTCTGACCACCCATCCATGTCTGTGTCTCTCACTTACTGACATCTGTCTGCCCCACCCCTCCTCACTATCTACATGCCAATTTCCAATTCCATACCTGCATCCCTCCACTCCCACAAAAACAAAGAAAGTATCTCATTAATATTGTGCCCCAGTGCTCGGCTCAAACTCTAAAACACGGAGGCAATCAATCATGGCAAGCAATGATGGTAAAGCAGATGCCAACAGTAGGCAACTCTGAGCACATAACACTTTGGATGGACAGACATGGACACACATACACACACTGGCACATGCCTGGCCCAATGCCCTCCTCTTTGTACCTGCCCCGAATCAGGCTTTCCAACAGCTCCATCAGGCACTGGCACGGTGGGCGGTACTAAAGTCTGAAACTCATCGTAATAGTCATAATACTGGTAATCTTCATAGTACTATGAATGACAAAGACACCAAGAGAGAAAAAAAACACAAAAACAGCAGAATTTGTTAAAGCAGAAATTAAGAGATTGACACAAATTTCTGTTCATGTTCAGTGATAACATAGATAGAATTTGGATACCTCAAACAAAGCCAAAAAGAGTAAGACCAAAGGGTGTCACGACACGGAGTGAGGCATTGACCAACTCTGTCATTGCCCAAATGGATAAGATAACCAATCGGGTACACAGGAACTGTACATCCCTCATCTTACATGGGTTGCACCAGAACTGATGTGGTTTAGGTTTATGTACCTTTTCAGAAGATGTGGGCACACCACTTAGAATATTGTGAGCAGATTTGGGCACCATACCTTAAGAAGGGTACATTGGCCTTGGAGGGAGTACAATATAGGTTAACAAGAATGATACCTGACTTCAGGGCTTAAGATGTAAAGAAAGATTACACAAATTAGGTATGTTTTCTCCAGAATTTAGAAGGTTAATGGGTGATTTAATAAAAGTCTTCAAGATATTAATGGTAAAAGACATGGTAGATAAAGATAAACTTTTCCCACTGGTTGGGAACTCTAGAACTGGGGGATCTAGGCTGAGAATTAGGGTCAGACTGTTCAGGAGAGATGATAGTCAACACTTCTACACACAAAGGATGGTAGATATTTGGAATTCTTCTATAAATGGCAAATGATGCTAGATCAGTTGTTAGTTGTTAAGCAAAGGTATTAGTGGATGTGGGGCAAAGGCAGGTATATGGAGTTAGGGTATAGATCAGCCATAATCTCATTGAATGCCAGAACAGGCTTGAGTGGCTGAATTACCTACTCCTGTTTCTAACCTCTATTTATTTCTAATTTCTAATCTCCCCCTGAGAAGTTGGGGGGTGGAGAGCTGGCTTTTTAATTACCATTACCATTTGGTATTGGGTACACCAAGAATGCTGTGAGAAAGGAAGGGCCAGGATTTTGATCTAGCCATGACGAAGGAATGGCAAAATATTTCTAAATCAGGGTGGTGTCCAACTCGGAGGGCAATTTTCAAATTCTAGTGTTCCCGGAACTGCTGCTCTTGTCCATCTAGGTGACAGAGGTCCCAGGTTTGCAAGGTGCTGTCAAAAGAGACTTTGGTGAGTTGCTGCTGTGCATCTGCCACTGTGCATCAGTAGTGGAAGGAATGAATATTTGTGGATGTGGTGCCAATCAAGTGGGTTACTTTGTCCTGGATAGTGTCAAGCTCTTGAGAGCTGTCGGACTGCACCCATCCAGATCAGTGGGGAGTATTCCATCATGCTCCTGATCTGTTCCTTGTAGATGATAGAAAGGCTTTGGGAAGTCAGGGCATGAGTTACTGCATGATTCCTAAACTCTGACCTGCTCTTGGAACCACAGTCTGTATATGGCTGGCCCAGCTGTGTTTCTGGCCAATAGTAACACCCCCAGGGCACTGATGTTGGTAGAGTCAGTGACAGTAAAGCCATTGAATGTCAAGGGAATGATGTTTATTGATCCACCCAGAAGAAATCGACATTGGGACTTGGAGGAACTGCTGAGTGAACAGGTTGGTCAAGGTGCTCCTGGGCGTCAACTTTAATAGATCGAGGGCTGGCTGTTGCTTAAGATGCATTGACAGGGGAAGAAAAGCATAGATCTGCAAGAGATCTCCTATCTGAATCTGGCTGATGATAAGATTCCAGGTCTGCATGAAATTCTGTCATCACAGGGCCCCCACCCTCAGGTTCACAAGCCCATCCCAATGCTGATGGCTGCTTCTATAGGGTCCTTCATACATATGGAGAGAGGGCAATGGGGAGCCTGAGGGAAGTGAGAGTGGGAGAGAAGAACATGAACAAAAACCATTGGAGAGGAATCTCTTAATTTGCCTTGCGTAATCACAGACTAGCCATGGCGACTGCGTTACTTCTCAACACTATATAATTAACAAGCAGCAAATATTTAACATCTGGCATTTGCACGGGGTTGGGTTGTAGAAAGTCTGGGATTATGTTCATCTCTGTTAGTTTAGCAGAGCAACCGTACCTTTGCACACTTTGACCTGGGGTGGGAATTGGGGAGGGAGCAGGGGAGCCTTCACTGTTTTTCACCTCTCCACTGACTATTCTTTTGTACTTGTCAACACATTGAGATCTGCCTGTCTGTCATACCTGAAGTTTGGGGAGCTTTGTCCGACTCCTCTTCACATTTGATCAAAGAGATTTCTCTTTCACTCAAAACTCCAAGCTCAGACGTCAAGGAAAGATCTGTTAATGATCAAAAAACGTGGAGCTTCCCCGAACCACACCCCCCCCCCCCCCCCCCCCCTCCACCACCATAATATGAACATACACACAGTCTCGTCGTGAGAACAGACTGGATCCCCCTCAAGGATGCTGAGTCTCAGCCAAGGGGGACCAGACAGGGATGATGCTTCCCAAGACTGAATAGTCAAATGAAATTGGGAAAGAGCTCCAGGCCCAGCATGTATGCAAACACACAGTGGGATGGTTTCTGTATTAAGGGAATAGGCCTACAAGGAGTGACCTTGGAGTCATGCTGATGACAGTCTCCCAGCCTTTGGCTGTGGCCCCTTTAAGAGTTGTCTTAAAGAGCCACAACCAGGAGAGGTTTAAGGGAGACAAGAAATACAAAGGGGAAGTGGTGGCTCAACTATTGGCCACTTTTGTTTTTCTTTTCTTGACATTATCTGAGGGATGGATATTGTCCGGGATATCTGAGATAACACCCCTACTCATCCTCCAAATCGCGCCTGGGACCTTACCTGAGTGGACGTAAGGCTCAGTCTGTTTTTTTTGTGTTCAAGACCTACAGCAGGACTTGGAAAGACCAGCATCACCCCACTGCCTTGCCTCTCCACTGTGACCCCCTCCCCCTCCACTATTGCAATTGAGATCAAATTGTGCCTGTAGTCACAACAGAAACAAGAGAGCAGTGATTGGGAGAGTGAGGTTTGGACAAACTGGGGAAGCTAAACTGACCAGTGCAGAGATGAACATCAGTTTGGCGGGTGTGAGAACAGAGTCGTGACCATTTAGACTGTTACAAGACCATGGCCAAGCAGCACCCATTTCATGACACAATAGAGATCCCACCACCTTCGAAACCAACCAGCTCTCATCCCTCTAAATATGGGCATTGCCTAGCCTTGGCCAAGTGCAGACTGATGGGACCTGATCACGTTAATGTAAAAGGTCCCCAGGCAGGAGAGAGAGAGACAGAGAGAGAGCCCAAACTTCCCAGTTGTTAGTTGCCCTTTTTCATTAATCTCAGCCACTGTTGAGTGGCATCTAGGTCAGTTCATTACAGAAGCTAAACCATGTGTGAGGGCAGAAGGCAGCAGAGCCCTTACCCTCCCCAGCTCGATTAAGGTGGCAGGGGAGAGCAGACAGGACCTTTCCCCTTGAAACTAAAGGGGAAAGAGTCCTTAGCAAAACAGCACAAGCAAAGCAAAAATAAAACTGCACGCATTAACTCTTCCTACAAATTTCACTCTGAGGCATTCCAAAGTCAGTGCTTGTTGGCCATCATCCCAGGAAAATCACAACACAACTATTCGTTCACCCAGGGATGAATTCATGTTAAATACCTCACTTAATTCCACAATTAGATTTTGTGTGTGGTTAGCACCACACTGGGATTTGAACCCAAAATTCTAGGTTTAGTTAATCCCCCTTCCCTCCCCTCATCTATTACTCCTTCCTCCCCCCTCTACTTTCGTCAGGGGGTGAAGTGAGTGGCGAGGAAATGTTCTCACGTGCATACTTACATAGTCCTCGGCGCTGGGTTCCTGACTCTGGGGGTAGTCCGGGAGCGGGGTGCCACAGTCTGGGCTGTAGTGCTGGCAATAGTCATAGGCAGCCCGGGGATCTGAGGAAATCAGCAGCTGCTGGATGTCACCCTGAAGAAGAGGGAGAGAGACAGAGAGAGAGAATGTGTGTGTGAGAGTGAGACTACGCTGTTTCAACAAGTCCAAGAATCTCCTGGATGTTTACAACCTGCAGAACATTTGCAGCTCCCAATCTTTCCCTATTAGATTGCATGATCATTATAAAAATTGTTAAAGAATTACAAAAGAAAGAGCTGTGTTTTTGGACATTTTTCTAATCACCTGCTCAGCCACATCATTACACACCTCTGGAGAGGTTCAGAGGTAGTTCAGAGATGGACTGCCACTACACCTCAGGTCAGGATTATTATGCAGCTGGGAAAGAGTTTGGTTCTTAACACTCCTGACAACAGGGATAGGTTCTTCAGATCTCCTCTGTCCAGAGTTCCCCTGAAGTTGTTTTAAAACGTCTTAGACATGACTTCACTGCCAAAATTTCAATGAAATGTGATTTTGGGAGCAATTTTTCCACCCAGACAGTGGTGAGCCTGTAGAAATCTCTACCATAGGAAGCGGTTGAGGCCAAAACATTACACTTTTTCAAGACAGAGATATATATAGTTTGCAGTGTTAAAGGGATCAAAGCATATGGGGAAAAAGGGGAAATAAGGTACTGCATTGGATGATCACCCATATTGAATGGAGCAGCAGGCTCAAAGAGCTGAATGGCCCACTCCTGCTCCTATTTTCTGTTTCAAAAAATCACAATGATTCAAACTTAGCTCTTTTGCAATGTTGAATTTTTTTCTATTTATATGCAAATTGAATGCATGTGTTTTGTTTATTATATGTATAAATTAAGCATTATTGGGGGGGAAGTGGGACGGGGTGAGGGAAGTGGGACGGGGTGAGGGAAGTGGGAGAGAGTGAGAGAGGAGGTGGGAGAAAGTGAGAGAGGAGGCAAAGGGGGAGGTAGGAGAGGGTAAGGGCAGGCAGGGGAGCTGAAGGGAGGGAGGGACAGTTGGGAGGAAGTGAGGGGGGAGAGGAAATGGGGGGGGCTGAGTGGGGAGGTGGAAAAGCAGGAGTTGGGAGGGGGTGAGAAAGCACAAAAATCGGGAGGGAACACCGTAGTGGATGAGTCGGAATGGGAGGGAGAAAAGGTCTTTGGGGAAGGCAAGAAGTCTGGAAATGTAAACATCGCATCTCCGGAGGTCAGTTACTTTAGGCAGTGAATATCACAGAATTGTTACAGTACAGAGGAAGGCTATTTGGTCCATCATGCCTCTTCAAGCAAGCCTCATTACTTAGTGCCAATCTGCTGCTTTTATCCCCATCAACCTTGCACATTATTTCTAAACAAATAACCAGAAGGGTCTAGGCCCGAAACGTCAGCCTCTCTGCTCCTATGATGCTGCTTGGCCTGCTGTGTTCATCCAGCCCTGCACCTTGTTGTCTCAACCATCCTATGCCTCTCTCGAATGCCTCTATTGAACTTGCCTGCACCTCATTTCCAGACAGCGCATTCCAGACTCACATCCTTCAGTATATTTCGGATTGTGACACAGTCAGGGGCCTTCCCACCCCAGCACCTCCTTCACTCCTTCTTTCCGTGAATTGGATTAATTAGCCGTTTAATCCCGGATTTGTTCAGCAGCCTTGACAGAGCCAAGGCGATGATGGTGGAGCTAAGAGCCAAGAAGCAGCTGGAGGGAGGTGGGGGCGGGTGCATGGGGGGAGCAGGATCCTGTCTGTCTGACCCTGACAACCCATAGCTGTTAGGACAGCCTCCGTGTTCTCTGAACACAGCAGAGTTTCAGTCAGAATGAAGCTCTTTTCCGAGTAAATTTCACAACCCTAAAAGAATTGCTTCTGAACTGTTGCATGATACTAACGGCTCACAACCAAGTGTGCACAGCATGATTCCACAAAAAACCAATATGATGATGACTACAGGGTATTTTTTTGAACTAGAAATGTACCCACCCTGCAACCCTTTGACACGACTAAGGCGCAGCTTTACTCTGTATTTGACCATTTGGTGTACCTGCAGTGAGTGTGCTCGACAGGGATGGTATAGAGAGAGCTTTACTTTCCATTGAAAAGAGTAAAGGGAGCATTACTTTCAGTTTAGAAGAGTAGATGGAGTTTTACTCTGAATTTAATAGATTACAGGCAGCATTATGCTGTATCTAACCCCATGCTGTACCTGCCTTGGGATTATTTGATGAGACAATGTAGAGGCAGCATTACTTTCAGTTTATGATGGTAGAGGAAGCTTTACTATCAGTTTAGAAGAGTGGAGGGAGCATTATTTTATCTAACTCCATGCAGTACCTGTTTTGGGATTGAGGGGAACAGCATAGAGTAAGCTTTACTCTGTATCTAACCCCATTTTGTACTCTCCTCTGGGAGTGTTTGTTGGACCTTTGTATCTCATTTAATTGCCCATTCACTATTATACTATTATGATGAGGATTTCGCTGGATAGGCCAGAATTTATTGGAGTTAAGAGTGCCTAAATGACATTAGTGAACCAAACAGGGTTTTTCCTGACAATTGACGATGGATTCATTGACATCATTCAAGATTTTTTCATTATTGAATACATATTCCATCATCTGCCATGGTTGGTTTCCAACCCAGGTTCCCAGAACATTACCTGGGTCTCTGGATTAACAGTCCAGTGATAATACCTCTAGGCCATCGCCTCCCCCTGCTAAATTTTGTTAAGTATAAAGTGACTTTGTGATTTTAGCACTCAAACCTCATACCAGTATACAGCTGTATTCTACTTGGAAAAGGCTTAGTGTATAAAATATACAATAGAAAGAAAGCATTTTACCTCAAACACTTCTTCATCTAAAATCCTGGTTCCAAACACCACAATTCCCTTGGTGTCAATGATGGGCTTGTTACTGCGGGGCAGAAGTTTGGTCACAGTTTTCTTGCAGTCAAAAATCATAGTGATCTTCTTCTTCTGCACACTGATGGCAACTCGATGCCACCTGAAGGGGAGAAAGAGAAATTATATGAAGTGGGTAAGGGAGAGAGGGAGTAAGAGACATGGTGGGTTAGGGAGAGAGAAGGGTGAGACACTATGACTAAGGGAGAAAGGAAATGAGAAACACAGTGGGTGAGGGAAAGAGGCGATGAGCAACATGGTGGGTAATGGAGACAGGAAGCGATAGACACAGTTGGTAAGAGAGAGATGGAGTGAGAGACACGGTGGGTAAGGGAGAGATGGAGTGAGAGATACGGTAGGTAAGGGAGGGACAAAGCAACAGACCTTGTGGGTAGGGGAGAGAACGGGTAAGGTAAGAGATAGAGGAGAGTGTGACACTATGGGATAGGGAGAGAGAAGAGTGGAGACACTGGATTAGGGAGAAAAGAGATGAGACACTGTGGGTAAAGGAGAACGGGAATGAGAGACACAGTCAGTAAAGGAAAGCTGGGATGAGAGACACGGTGCGTAATGGAGATAGGGAGAGAGAAGCACAGTTGGAAAGGTTGGGGGGGAACAAGACAAATGGTGGGTAAGGGAGAGAGGGAGTGAGAAACACGAAAGGTAGGGGAAAGATGGAGTGAGAAACATGGTGGGTAAAGGAGAGAGAGACAGTGGGTAAACAAGACAGAATTAGAGAAAAAATACCCAACAGGCTGAGGAGAGGTGAGAAGCACACAGCAGATCAGAAAACGTCAAAAATCACATGAGACCAGGTTATAGTCCAACAGGTTTATTTGAAATCACAAGCTTTTGGAGCACAACCCCTTTGTCAGGTGCAGTGAGAGGAGAGCACACAGACACAGAGTTTATAGGCAGAGAGATGAAGGGCACAGAAATGAAAGGATCTTACAACTGGTGTGAGTGGAGTGAACAAATCTAAAATGGCTGATTGACTGCCTCCGGTTGAATATTTAATCATTCATACATTCCTGCATTCTAGAAATTGCTGAAGCAGAATATGGAGAACTCTGTTAGAAAGGCGACACAAATTTGAATTGATTAAGATGAAAATTCCAGAATCTGTTTCAAGTCACTGCCCCGAGATAATTAAAGGTTTCATCAGTGTCTGCCTAACTTTCCAAACCTCAAACAGGCAGAGCAATAGGAATATACAAAAGGTGACATCTCAGATCAGGCACTGAACTGTAGGTGTGGGACCTTGTTCAGAATCTGTCTGGTTTTATTCTGAAAGCAGGAATTTATAAAATGCCATACTGACTGACTGTGACTCCAAATTGTGTGTTTCTTGAACAAAATAGAGTTTAAGTAAACAAACATCTTGGACGAAATAATTCACCCCATTGGTTTATATGTGTCTGTGTGCGCGTGTGTGGCAGAGTGTGTGTGTGTGTTTCTGTGAGAGAGTGTAATAAGTAATCCAAACTGTACAAACTAATTAAGGTAGAGAGATCATAACAATTTATTAAGGTGCTGCTGTCAAAACAGAATGGTAAGGAAGATTTTACAGATACAAAACAATGTGGTAGGGTCACCTATAACACGACATGAGCCCAAGATCATGATTGAGGCCTTCTTCATGGGTACGGAACTTAGCTATCAGACTTTGCTTGGTGATTCTGCTTTATTGTGTATCTCAAATTCAGCCATGATGGGCGCTTACCCAAAGATCAGAGGCTGAATACCCTTGACCACTGAAGTGTTCCCTGACTGGGAGGGAACGCTCCTGTCTGGCAATTGTTGTGCAGCATCCATTCATCCGTTGTCATAGCATCTGCATGGTCTCACCAATATACCATGCCTCAGGACATCCTTGATTGTAGCGTATGAGAATGGACAACATTGGCTGAGTCACATGAGTATCTGCTGTATATGGGGGCGGTGCTGTTCCCACGTGATCTGAAGTGTCTTGCAGAGGTTGCCATGGCAGGGTTGTGTGGTGTTGTGGTCGATGTTGTCCTGAAGGTTGGGTAGTTTGCTGTGAACAATGGTCTATTTAAGGTTTGGCGATTGTTTGCTAGCAAGAAATGGAGGTGTGGGGAAGATCTTGGTGAGATGCTCATTGTCATTGATAACATGTTGAAGGCTGCAAAGAATACGGCATAGTTTCTCCACTCCGGGTAAGTATTGGACGACGAAGCGTATTCTATTCGTTGTATCCTATGTCTGTCTTCTGAGGAGGACGTTGCAGTTTCTCGCTGTAGCATGTCGGAACTGGCAATTGATGAGTTGAGCATCGTGTTCCGTTCTTATGAGGGCATCCTTCAAAACTTTCAGGTGTCCATTGCATTCTTGCTCATCTGAGCTGATCCTGTGTATGTGCAGGGCTTGTCCGTATGGGATGGCTTTTTAAATCATAGAATCATAGAATCCCCACAGTATGGAAACAGGCCCTTCAGCCCAACAAGTCCACACCGACTCTCAGAGCATCTCACCCAGACCCATCCCCAGACACTGTGGGCAATTTAGCATGGCTAATCCACCTAACCTGCATATCTTTGGATTGAGTGAGGAAAATGGAGCACCCAGAGGAAACCCACGCAGACACGAGGAGAATGTGCAAACTCCACACAGACAGTGGCCAAAGGGGGGAATCGAACCCGGGTGCCTGGTGCTGTGAGGCAGCTGTGCTAACCACTGAGCCACCGTGCCACCCAAAATATGTTAGAGTGGAATCTAGAGAAGTGCAGCATCATGAGGTTATCCATGGGCTTGCGGTAGACTGAGGTACTGAAGCATCCGTCCTTGATGGAGATGCATATGTCCAAGAATGAGACTGATTCTGAAGAGTAGTCCATGGTAAATTTGATGTTGGGATGAAAATTATTGCTATTGCTATTTAGTTGTTTCAGTGTTACTCGCCATGACTCCAAAGGAAGAAAATGTCATCAATGTATCTGGTGTATAACATTGGTCAGAGTCCTGTGAAGCAAAGAAGTCTTCCTTGAACTTGTGCATGAAAATGTTGGCATATTGGGGTGCAAATTTGGTCCCCATGGCTGTTCTGTGTGTCTGGATGAATAACTGGTTGTCGAAGGTGAAGACATTGTGGTCAAGGATGAAGCAGACACAGGCATCTCAATCAAGAACAGACACCTCAGTACCTCACTCTACCACAAGGCCACAGATAACCTCATGATGCTGCACTTCTCTAGCTCCCACCCTAAATCTATTAAAAAAGCCATCCTTTACAGACAAGCCCTGCACTAAAACAGGATCTGCTCAGATGAGGAGGACTGCAATGGACATCTGAAGGTTTTGAAGGACGCCTCATAAGAATAGGATATGATGCTCAACTCATTGATCGCCAGTTCCAACATGCCACAGTGAGAAACCGCAATAACCTTGTCAGAAGACGGACACAAGATATGACCAATAGAGTACCCTTCGTCGCCCAGTACTTCCCCAGAGTGGAGAAATTATGCTATATTCTTTGCAGCCTTCAACATATCATCAATGACAATGAGCATCTTGCCAAGATCTTCTCTACATCTCCACTTCATGCCTTCAGACAACCACCAAACCTTAAACAGAGCATTGTTCGCAGCAAACTACCCAGCCTTCAGGACAACATTGAGCACAACACCACACAACCCTGCCATGACAACCTCTATAAGACATGTCAGATCATCGACATGGACACAACTATCACACGTGGGAATACCACCCACCACGTACACGGCAGATACTTATGTGACTTGGCCAATGTTGTCCATCTCAGACACTACAGGCAAGGATGCCCCAAGGCAAGGTGTATTGGCCAGATCATGCAGTCGCTACGACAACAGATGAATGGACACCGCTCAACAATCACCAGACAGGAGTCTTCCCTCCCAGTCAGGCAACACTTCAGCAGTCAAGGGCATTCAGCCTCCAGTCTTCGGGTAAGCGTCCTCCAAGGCAGACTTCGAGATACACAACAATGCAGAATCGCTGAACAGAGACTGATAGCCAAGTTCCATACCCATGAAGACGACCTCAACCAAGATCTTGTGTTCATGTCACACTGTAGGTGACCCTACCACACTGTTCTGTATCTGTAAACTTTTCCTTACTGTCCTGTTTTGACAGCAACACCATGATAAATTGTTTGATTTCGCTACATTAATTGTACTGTTTTGGATTAATTATTACACTCTCTTACACAAACATGCACTCTCACACACACACTCACTCTCTCACATATACACAGACCCATGGGGTGAATTACTTCACCCAAGATGTTTGTTTATTTACAGATACATTCTATTTTGTTCAAGAAACACACAAGTTATATTCACAGTCAGTCAGTGTGACATTTTATAAATTCCTGCTTTCGGAATAAGACAAGCCTGATTCTGGGTTAAAACAATGAGATAGATTCTGAACAAGGCCTCACACCTACAATTCAGTGTTTGACCTGAGATGTCACCTTTCGTATATTCCTATTGCTCTACCTGTTTGAAGTTTGGAAAGTTAGGCAGACACTAATTAAACCTTTAATTATTTCGGGGCAGTGACTTGAAACAGATTCTGGAATTTGCATCTTAATCAATTCAAACTTGTGTTGCCTTTCTAACAGAGTTCTCCATATCCTGCTTCTGCAATTTCTGGAATGAAGGAATGTATGAATGATTAAATATTCAACAGGAGGCAGTCAATCAGCCATTTTAGGTTTGTTCACTCCCCTCACACCTTCATCTGTCTGCCTATAAACTCTGTGTCTAAGTGCTCTCCTTTGACTGCACATGATGAGGGGGCTGCGCTCCAAAAGCTTGTGATTTCAAGTAAACTATAACAAGGTGTCATGTGATTTTTTTTACCTTGTCCACCCCAGTCCAACACCGGCACCTCCACATCATGGATCAGCGAAAGCCAGGGTGGACATAAGATTTGCTCAAACATACGTATTTAGGACATAAGAGCAGGCATGGACCATTTGGTTCCTCAGGCCTGCTGCACTATTCAGTAAGGTAACAGCTGTTGTGTTTCTGTACTGATATTCCTTTGATTCTATCGTCAACCAGAATCTATCTCCTTGCCCTTCAAAACATTTAATAACCC